ACAGCATGCCAATTATCAAATCAATATCTTCAAGCATGTCTTTTTTTTACTAAAAAAAGGGCGGAAAACTGATTATTTTGGTGAGTTTTCTAAGTCCAAGGACCATAACTCTGCACAAAATCATAGGCCGTAACAAAATTAGAACTTGATCTGTAACTTGTCATAATGAAAATGAAACTATATACCAAATATCCAATCAATATCTCCAAGCACGAAGAAAAAAAGTGTGGAAAACGGATTTGCCGGACAGACGGACGGACAGACAGAGTTCAAACCGAAAGTCCCCTTCCACTTCGTCGGTAGGGGACTAATTAGAAACTTTACAAAAGGAAAAAAATATCAGCAGGATAAGATCTACCAATAAATCAACATTACTGAAATTGTCAGAGTTATTCCCCTATAATGATTTTTACTAAAAAGTGGCCATTGTTGAAGATGCAGGTGAGCGACACAGGCTCTTTAGAGCCTCTAGTTATTGCAAAATTTTAGTTTAATGGCTGGTCTGACTCACCCACACACTGTTTACTAAATTTGCACTGTAAAGACATACAGTATTTGTAGTACCCGAGGTGCGCGACTCTTAAAAGTCAGAGTATTAAGTCTTTGAGTCCTCTTTTCGTCCTTTTTTTCCCTCTTTTCCCCGAATGTGACCTGCCGAATTAGATATATATCTCAAGGTTTGTACTTGTACGCGCAACACGACGGGTGCAACATGTGGAGCAGGATCTGCTTACATTTCCGGATCACCCTCGGTTTTAGGTAGGGTTCGTGTTGCTCAGTCTTTAGTTTTCTTAGTTGTTTTTTTGTGTACTGTTGTTTGTCTTTTTTTTTTTTGCCCTGGCATTATCAGTTTATTTTCAACTTTGAAAGTCCCCTTGGTATCTTTCGTCACTCTTTTTAAGGCTTTTGGGCCTGCGAAAAACCAGTATGGGTGGCTCGGGGAAGATCTTGAATAGTTAAGGATGTTTTTTTTATTTCTTTCCAAATTTTGCGGATAAGGTGTGATAATTTGTCAATCTTAGGATGGTAAGTTAGCACAAATGGGACTCTTGTTGACCTTTTTATCTTTGTATTGTAAAAAATTCATCTCGGCTGATGTTGTTAGCACGTGACAACCCTCTAGTAATGTCTTTTCTACTGTAGTCCAATTTCTTAAGTGACCACGAAGTCCTTGTAATTGCCTTTGCACAGTATTATTATAAATATTGGTGCAGCAAATCGGCCTTATTCTGATGGCATGCTGAATGAACACATTAAGATCTAGTTCTTTTTTATCCCATTTCTAGTCAATATCGTCAATGAATCGGAAACAAGAGAGTGGTTGATAAAGAGAACAATTGAGATTTTGCCCATTAAAATATTGGCATAGGACGGGGCCATCTTTGTTCCCATTCCATTAACTTGGAGATAGTGTTGACCATTATATGCAAAGCTATTGCATTTAAATACCAAAGTTAGAAGCTGGACTAAATATTCAATTCTTTCATAGATAAAATATATAGGGTTTCCAAAATTTGCTATACTTGTAGAAAACTGATTACAAACGGGACATCACATCTTAATCTTTAAGGTAATGTTGTATATAGACCCTGTTATCTGAGATACGTGTAAAATGATCGATCTTTTAAATAAATTTCTTCTAAAGATTATCATTAAAACATTGTAATGATATCCTAAAATATTGTTTTTATCGCTACAAACATCGATTTTGTTATCAATAAATTGAAACATAACTAAATATCATTGCTATACAGTCCTGCGTTCTGTTGATACTTAAATTTTGGCATTGATCAAGATCATGTTTTTCTCTGACTGTTATTGACGTCTTAAACTAAATCCATTGGATGTGTACTGATTGAAATTTAGTCTTGGATGCACGATATTGTTATTCGCCGTTATTGTCTTGAAACTAACTTTCAAGTACATCAAGTACTCTCAGTTCAGCATTTTGTTACTAAAAATTTTAGTTCGTTGTTTTTGTGTGATTTGTGTCGATCTGATGAGTCATGCCATTATTAACTGATTTTTATACTTTGTTCTGTTATACCATGTTGGGGGCACATGTGCCACCCGTCGTGTTGCTCATTCAAGTACAAATCTGTGATAAATCTAATTCGGTAGGTAACATTCGGGGAAAGTAGACATGATTCTGGTTATGACAATTGGAACATATCTGTTGTCATCTATGAGACAGATTTTCCATAACAGTCCATCAACTCATGATGGTGTCTGTAAAATTTTTAAAGAGATAATTTCAACTTCATCACTTGGAATGCTTGATTTAATAACTAAATATCTTCATTTTGATTGAAATCATCAATATATAAAAGGGTAAACTGTGTTTAGGAAATTGTTGAAATTTGGAACAATTTTTTTTTTAAATTAACTCAACATCTCCTGTATTTTGCTATTTATGAATATCAATAGCAGATCTTTGTTCATTTCTGTTAAATTAATTCAAAGCATTTTAAGAGGGGATGATTTATAATTGACATACAATTATGTATTGAATATCATGAATATAGATACTTGACTATTGTTGAAGACAGTGTTGCCCTCTTTTGCTTATTTTTGTAGTTGGGTTTCTGTCTCATTGATGTTTATCCCACATCTCCAGTTATTCATAATGGTAGTATTTTTATGCTTGACCTAAGCTTTTACACACAAACTGATGTGCCACATGTATCTAATGCACTCTTTGTCATTTTCATACTGAAGGTTGATATGTTAAATAGGTTGGAGAAAAAATAGAGGCAAAAGATACCAAAGGAACATTCAAACTCATAAGTCAAAAAATAAACTAACAAAACCATGGCAAAAAACAAAAGAATGTGTCCATAGTACACATATGCCTCACTCGCACTATCATTTTCTATGTTCAGTGGACCGTGAAATTGGGGTAAAAACTCTAATTTGGCATTAAAATTAGAAAGATTATATCATAGGGAACATGTGTACTAAGTTTCAAGTTGATTGGACTTCAACTTCATCAAAAACTACCTGGACCAAAAACTTTAACCTGAAGCGGGACAGACGGACTAACGGACGCACAGAGTGAAAAACATAATGCCCCTAGGTGGGGCCTAAAAATGTGCTCTGCCTGGAGCAGCTGGATATGACTGCAGAGGTCGAACTCTGAACAGTTGGGGCAAGTATGGACACAATATTCAAGCTTGATACAGCTCTGAATTTGGATAGTGATTAAATATTTGACACATTATAGATTTCTGACACAGAATAAATGTGGTCAGATAACTTAAAAATTTGAAATGGGACATTTAATCTACTTAATGGTCCAATATCCAAAATCTAATTCCATGGTTAGATTCAGCATATAAAAAAAAATGAATTCAAACAGAGTTTAATTTTGGACCCTTTGGACCTTAATATGGACTTATTTGAAAACAGGGCCCAAAATTAAAAATCTGAATGCACAATTAGATTCAGCATATCATAGAACCACAAGAATTCAGTTTTTGATGAAATCGAACAAAGTCTAATTTTGGACCCTTTGGACCTCAATGTAGACCTATTCAAAAATGTCCAAATATCCAATTTAGTAATACATGGTAAAAACCTCAATTAATTCAAGACTTTAAATTAATCCTCATTGAAATTGGTTAAAAGATTTGTATTTATTTTCAATTGAAGATTTCTTGCTGTTGTGCAATACTTTGCTGTTGCGCAATACTTAGTAAATCTGTTTACAAACTAAATATAATAATTTACACACCCTGTTTGGTGTGTATCTCCTGCCATATCAGTATTTGTTGTTTCTTTATATAGATCATAAATAATTTATGTTAGAACCAGCTTGTCCCAAGTCAGGAGCCTGTAATTCAGTGGTTGTTGTTTGTTGATGTGTTACATATTTGTTTTTTGTTCATTTTTTTGTATATAAATTAGGCCGTTAGTTTTCTCGTTTGAATTGTTTTACATTTGTCATTTTGGGGCCTTTTATAGCTGACTATGCAGTATGGACTTTGTTCATTGTTGAAGGCTGTACAGTGACCTATAGTTGTTAATTTCTGTGTCATTTGGTCTCTTGTGGAGAGTTGTCTCATTGGCAATCATACCACATCTTCTTTTTTATATTAGCCAGTATTAGAAAAGTCTTGTTTTTGGCCCCTATTTGGCCTCTAATTTCTTAACGATTAAAGCCACAACCCACAAAATCAACTCCAACCTTCTGTGTGTGGTATGGAACCTTGTGGTACAATTTCATAGAGATCCATTGACTAATACTTAAGTATTTGTCAGGAAACCAGAAAAACCTTGTTCCTCCCCCCCCCCTTTTTTGCCCCTTATTCCTGAATGGTTTGAGCCATAACCCCCAAAGTCAAACCCAACCTTCCCTTTGTGGTATGGAACCTTGTGTTTCAATTTCATAGAGATCCATAGACTAATACTTAAGTAATTGTCCATTAACCAGAAAAATCATGTTTTTCCCCCCTTTTTTGCCCCTCATTCCTGAACGGTTTGGGCCATAATCCCCAAAGTCAATCCCAACCTTCCCTTTGTGGTATGGAACCTTGTGGTACAAATTCATAGAGATCCATACACTTATACACAAGTTATTGTCCGGAAACTAGAAAAATGCCTTTTTTGGCCCCTTTTTGACCCCTAATTCCTAAACAGTTGGGACCATAACCCCAAAATCAATCCCAACCTTCCTTTTGTACTATTGAACGTTGTGCTTAAATTTCATAGAGATCATAGAGATCCATTCACTTATACTAAAGTTATTGTCCAGAAACCAAAAGTCTTCGGACGACGACAACATGATAGCAATCAGGGAAAAAGATTAGCAGGGGCCCAGTAGCCAATGCTACTGAAAATTGGGCTGGGCCCCTAAAACTTTTGTGAAAATGCCCATAGTTTTTACATTAATTTTCATATTGTGGCAGGTTGGGCCCCTAGTCAGAAAATGTTAGTCTTATTCCCTGGCAATATACGAACGCAAATTTTTAGCGGTCGTATAAAAAATGACCAATAGATACTTTCATATCATAAAAATAAGATGTTTAGGTAAATCTGTTCTTTTAAGATTTGTTAGGATAAAATATAGATACACATGTAAGTTCCCAATTCCATTAACAAATTCTCCACCATATAAAACTTTGTGTGGAATCTGCAGTTACACTGTTATCATTTAGTTATGGATAACAATCTGAAACCTTTCATATCAGTTAATTAGCAATTTGTAGACTGCTCAATGGTCTCGGGCCATTCTGTGCTTGTTCCTGATTTTTTTATAGGTAATAATTTTTTCTGATTAACTCAGTCCCAGCAATTTTTCCACCGATGGGTACATCCAGTCATCATCACTAAGACTTTTCAGCTTTTGTCGTAATTGTTTCAGTCTCTGCTCATGCATGTCGTCTGAAAAGAATACAGAAAAATTCTTTCAGTCAATAGTACACGGATGCCCCACTCACACTATCATGTTCTATGTTCAGTGGAATGTGAAAGTGAAAGTGGGGTCAAAACTCTAATGTGGCATTAAAATTAGAAAGATCATATCATAGGGAACATGTGTACTAAGTTTCAAGTTGATTGGACTTCAACTTAATCTAAAACTACCTTGACCAAAAATTTTAACCTGAAGCGGGACAGACAGACGGACGAACGAACAGACGCACAGACAGAAAAACATAATGCCCCTCTACTATCGTAGGTGGGGCATAAAAATAAGAAGATGTGGTAAGATTGTCGATGAGACAGCTTCCTACCAGAGACATGTCACCAAATGATGTTGAAGTTAACAACTATAAGTCACTGTAAGGTCATCAACAATTAGCTAACCCTTTATCACATAGCAACCCATAAAAGGCACTGACACGACAAATGTCAAACAATTCAAACAAGAAAACCATCAGCCTTATTTATGTACAAAACAACAAACAAATATGATATACTGCAATAAACGACAAGCTTTGCTCTTAAGCTTCTTCTGGGAACTTAATTTCATATGAATAAAAGACCTCTTTGTTCTTCTTCCGAATACAGAAGTAGACTCCTAGGTAGGAGTGTATAACTTCCAGGAACTTGTGTGCTATGTACATATGGACTTAATTAAAATGAATATTAACAATAAAGAATAAAATGCTCCGCAGGGCGCAGCTTGATACGACCGCAGAGGTCGAACCCTGAACAGTTGGGGCAAGTATGGACACAACATTCAAGCTTGATACAGCTTTGCATTTGGATTGTGATTAAATATTTGACACAGCATAGGTTTCTGACACAGAATGAATGTGGTCTAAGAACTTAAAAATTTTAAATTGGACATTCACCTATTATGGTCCAATATCCAAAATCTAAATACATGGTTAGATTCAGCATATCAAAGAACCCCAAGAATTCAATTTTTGATGAAATCAAACAAAGTTTAATTTTGGATCCTTTCGACCTCAATGTGGACAAAGTTGATAACGGGGCCCAAAAATCAAAAATCTAAATACATGGTTAGATTCAGCATATCAAAGAACCCCATATATTCAATTTTTGTTGAAATCAAACAAAGTTTAATTTTGGACCCCGATTTGGACCAACTTGAAAACTGGGCCCATAATCAAAAATCTAAATACATGTTTAGATTCAGCATATCAAAGAACCCTAAGAATTCAATTTTTGTTAAAATCAAACTAAGTTTAATTTTGGACCCTTTGAACCTTAATGTAGACCAATTTGAAAACGGAACCAAAAATTAAGAATCTAAATACACGGTTAGATTCGGCATATCAAAGAACCCCAATAATTCAATTTTTGATGAAGTTTAATTTTGGACCCTTTGGACCTCAATGTGGACAAATTTAAAAACGGGGCCCAAAATCCAAAAACTAAATACACCGTTAGATTCAGCATATTAAAGAACCCCAAGAATTCAAGAATAAAACCCCATTGAAATTGGTCAAGAAATAAGCAATTTATACGAAGTATCTTCTTTTGCACAATACTGTGCAATTAAATATTTCTTGCTATTGCGCAATACTGTACAATTGACAATTTCTTGCTATTGCGCAATATTGTGCTATTGATATTTCTTGCTATTGCCCAATACTGTGCAATTGAAGATTTCTTGCTATTGTGCAATACTGTGCAATTGAAAATTTCTTGCTATTGCACAATACTTATTATATAATAATTTACACATCCTGTTTGGTGTGTATCTCCTACCATTTCATTATTATTTGCTTTTAAATATAAATCAGAAATAACCAACTTAAAATGGAAAATTTTAAAAGAAAAAAAAAAGGAAAAAAAGAAAAAAAAGGAAAAAAAAAAAATCCCCCCCCCCCCAAATTTTTTGAACCCCATTATGATTCATCACCCCCAAACTCAAACCCAGCTTTCCCTTTGTGATATGGAACCTTGTAGTACAATTTCAGAAAGATCCATACACTTACACACAAGTTATTGTCCTGAAACTAGAAAAATGCTTGTTTTTTGCCCTTTTTTGGCCCCTTATTCCTAAAATATTGAGGCAATTACCCCCATCATCAATCCCAGCCTTACCTTTGTGGTATGGTACCTTGCAGTACAATTTCAGAGAGATCCATACACTTGAACACAAGTTATTGTCTGGAAACTAGAAAAATGCTTATTTTTGGCCCCTTTTTGGCCCCCAATTCCTAAATGTTTCGACAATTACCCCCAAACTCAATTCTAGCTTTCCCTTTGTGATATGGAACCTTGTAGTACAATTTCAGAAAGATCCATACACTTACACACAAGTTATTGTCATGAAACTAGAAAAATGCTTGTTTTTTGCCCCTTTTTTGGCCCCTAATTCCTAAAATTTTAAGGCAATTACCCCCAAAATCAATCCCAGCATTCCCTTTGTGATTTGGAACCTTGTGGTACAATGTCAGAGAGATCCATACACTAACACACAAGTTATGTCTGGAAGTTACAAAAATGCTTATTTTTGGCCCCTTTTTCCTTTACTGTTGGTACCATAACCCCCAAAATCAATCCCAACCTTCCTTTTGTGGTATTGAACCTTGTGGTAAAATTTCATAGAGATCCATTCACTTAAACTAAAGTTAGAGTGCGAAAACCAATGTGTCTTCGGACTACGCCGGACGACGATGACGCCAACATCATACCAATATACGACCACAAAAATTTTTTTGCGGTCGTATAAAAAAAAGGCAGGACAGAATAGAGTGAAAAATAAAAAGGCAGGACAGAGACTACAAATAAAAAAAAATGCACGACAAAATTTTTTATCCTAGCCCCCCATAAATATCAAATGGTAGCTCCCTCAGTTGGTGTTGGTCCTTCAAAAGTTAGAGTGGATATGCCACTTTTGAAGGATTCCAGGGTGTCAGACATACCTATTGCTTCAGGTAGTGAATTCCAATGAGAATATCAACATATACTTGAATATATTGTCTTTATTATTTTGCTGATGATACATCTTATCATGATAATGAGTTTAGAAAAGCCAGATATTTAAATAAATACACTTGTAGTGAAATTGCAATGCCAATAGCAGGAATAGTATTTTTAGATGCTTAGTAAAAACTTTACCTTTTTGCATTAATTTCTTACTCATTTCTATTTCATAATCTATCTGTAACCTATTCATTAATGACAAGGCTGAACTGCTATCTGAAAAAAGAAATACAAAATTAGTTATGATGATTTCTTCTTTCTTTCCTGCAATATAACACTTAAGGATGTACTTAGGTGAAATTAAAAAAATCTAGAATTTAAAATTGATACTACAAGTCAGAAGAGCATTAGTTAAGGAACAAAATAAGATAAAAATATTGATACATGTAGGTTATGGAGCTCTTTTTCAAGATATTTAAGTTTTAAACAAGAATGTGTCCATAGTACACGGACGCCCCACTCGCACTATCATTTCCTATGTTCAGTGGACGTGAAATTGGGGTCAAAATTCTAATTTGGCATTAAATTTGAAAGATCATATCATAGGGAACATGTGTACTAAGTTTCAAGTTGATTGGACTTCAACTACATCAAAAACTACTTTGACCAAAAACTTCAACCTGAAGCGGGACAGACGGACGAATGGACGGACGAACAGACCGAAAAACATTATGCCCCTCTACTATCGTAGGTGGGGCATAAAAATGGTGGGAAAAGGCTGACTCGTCAGACTTTTACCTTATATTTGCATTGGTATTATATTTGGGTCTCAAATCAAAAACATGCAAAATAAAAAGAAATCTAGAGTCTGCTTAAATTTTGATAAATGACCTATATGAGCTATTGAATTCTTATATGAAAAGAAAAATGGGTGTTATGGGGCAAAATATTTTACCCTGTATCGTAGGAAAAAAACCAAGGAGTCCGAACATCTGACAAAAATTCCTAAACCTGACCTAAGTACATTCTTAAATGTTTCTTATTTTATTTGTTTGGTTTTTGTTGTTAACAATGGTTAACAAATCATGCAAATTGGGAATAATTTGGGATTAGAAAATAGAAGTAATTGTCATACTCCTTTACACTTTAAATGAAACCTACATGACTCAGGGGCGGATTCAGGCGGGCGTGCGCCCCCTTAAATTTGCAAAGCATGGGTTGTCCCCAGTCAATAAAGAATATTTCGATAATTTTACCTCAAAAAAAATTAAGTTTGCTCCCCCCCCCACCCCCCAGGTGGACAAATATTACTAGTATAAAAAGTCCATGGTTACAAAATTTACTAGTAAATTTAGTCTGATGTCAATAATTTATGTCCCCAGACTAATTTTCCTAGGAATTTATGTTAATGTCACCAATATTCCTAGGTAAAAACGTCCATGTCCTTTATTTTACTAGGAAAATGTGTAATAAAAAAAACCATTTACATGTAAACATTGGAATTTTTAATTCTTATGTTTTAATGTTGTCTAACAGTTGTGCATTAATCATGTTAATCTTTTAATAAAATTTATGTGACTAGACTAATTTCCCTAGGAATTCATGTCCAGGTCATTAATATTCCAGGGTAAAAAAATCCATGTTTTTTTATTTTCAATAAGACAATTTGTAAAAAATGAAAGAAATCATTTACACCTTGTTATATACTACATGTACCTTTAGAATGAATCTAAATCACTCAAAATCACTAACATTCACCCTGAAAAATCACAACAAAGAGTGACTGAATCACTTTGTGTTTACTGCATGTAATTTTCATTGCTTTTGTCATTGGGTTGGCCTCCCTATTGGTTTGCTCTTTGGCATTTACCTCACATCTCCTTTTTATTTTCATGATTGTAACTGGTTGTATTGTCCTGATTCATCCTGAAAAGCGACTTGATTCTCCCTGGTTTGTAATAATAATCTTTTTTGCCAAATCATACTTCATAGTTTTTAAAGCAGTTGAATTTTGTTCTTAATAATTGTTTTGAGTCAAGTTTAAATATTGTAAAAGTTGGTCTTCATAAACTTATTTACAAGAAGAATATGTTTTATTTCCATTCAGTAGGTTATTGTTTGCATATAAATATTATGGTATGGTATAAAAATATTCAGATATTAAAAAATAAAAGGTCAAGACTATCCTATAACATGTATAGAATCCATGACAAATCGCCCCACTGGCAAATTGCCCCACACATAATCGCCCCACTTTTTCGCCAACTCGCCCCACTTTCTTAAAAATCGCCCCACTTTTGTTTACCAACTCGCCCCACTTATGAAAAGGATAAAATCCCATTGAAAATAGGTTGGATATATTGCTCCATTTATGAAAAGGGGAAAAAATCCCTCTGATATAAGGTCTGCCAACTCGCCCCACTTGTGAAAAATAGATAAATCCTGATTGAATTTAGTAATGCCAACTCGCCCCACTTATGAAAAAAGATGCAATCCCGTTGTATATATCTATGTTCCTGCCCCACTTATAAATAGAATCAATACCTATTAAAACCTTAGATACACATGTTTTTCCCGTTTGAATGGTTTTACACTAGTCATTTTTGGGGCCCTTTATAGCTTACTGTTCGATATGAGCCAAGCTAGGCTCCGTGTTGAAAACAGTACTTTGACCTATACATAATGGTTTTTCTTTTACAAATTGTGACTTGGATGGAGAGTTGTCTCATTGGCACTCATACCACATCTTCTTATATCTATTTTGTAGTTCTTTTCTTTTTGTTGAAATAAAGCATAAAGAAGTGAGTATCAGTATTTTCTGTGACGTGAATGCCAACTAGCCCAACCAGTGAAAAATAGAAAAATCCTGATGAATTGAGTAATGCCAACTCGACCATCTTATGAAAAATAGAAAATACCAGATGAATCAAGTTGAGTCATGCCAACTCAATGTCAATAATAATGATTTAGTCAATTTTCGTTTTTTTGTATTCTGTGTATAAGATTTTTTTAGTTAAGTGGTTCGAGTTGGCAGACCTGAAATTATATATTCATCTAGGTTTATCCCGCAATGGTGGTAAGTCGTGCACTTAAGGCCATTTTTTATTTTATTTTTCTGTAGACTTAGTTTGGTTTTTTTATTACTGTGTATTGTCAAATTGGTTACTCATAATTGTTTCTCAGTCACTGAATGTACGATGTTGTTCCATACTGGAGCAGCTGACCTGGTTTGTTTACATTCAAATTCTAATGGCTTCAAAACCACGTGACACGTGACACATTGAATCATTATATCCAATCAAATTGCTATACTGTCAATTAGGTGATTTTTTAGTACAAGGCAATTATATTATTTGTTTGTATGATATTGCTTTGAAATACATGAAATAGTTTGCAATAAATTGGGGGTTTATTCAATAGGAAACTTCATTATTAGCCATGAAATTTGACTTCAATGGAATTTTATATGAATATTTACTTATGGTCAGAATATCGATCTCTTTATATTGAACCAAATTTTCTTTTATGAAAAATATATGTATATTGTTTTTTATTAACCTACTCTATATTCCTGAATAAGAATATGCATGATTATCGTTTGTTTTCCAAAGTTTTTCTTTCAATTTGGATGTGTTTTTTTTTGCGGGAAAATCGCGTAAGACGTAAGGTGCTTGCCATTTTGAAATTCTTAAAAATACGATTTGCTTGGCCTGTTTGGTCTGCCATTAAGATTGATGAGCTCAATGGAATGTAAACAAAGCAATGGAGGCCGGAAGAGGGGTTTTCTTAAGTTCTGAAATGTTTTTAGGCATTCGGAAGTCAGGTTTGAAATGGCCATTAGAAAATCTGCATTTTTGTACAATACTTAAGAATAATAATGAAAACATATCTTCAGAAATATCATTTTATTTAGAAGTGTAGAAAAAATGCATTCTGCACTAATTTTAAACGCTGGTATTAGCGTAGTGACGTCAATGCGGAGTTTTCCCATGTGATAAGTACAATAACAAAATCCGAACGAACCAACGTTATGACCGATTATAGACTACGGTACGTCGGTAGGATACATTATTTCATTAAGTGGGCGAGTTGGCAGGAGAAAAAATAAACGGGATTTAACCCTTTTTACAAGTGGGGCGATTTTTTTAAAAGTGGGGCGAGTTGGTAAACCAGTTTGGGGCGATTTTTTAAAAGTGGGGCGAGTTGGTGAAAAAGTAGGGCGATTTGCCAGTGGGACGATTTGTCCTGCTTCCCATGTTACATGTATAATATCATATAAAAAATTATGTTGTTTATGCCCGTAATATCAATTTTCTTTATCGTTCAGTTCGGTGTATTTGTTAGATGTGGATAATGAATTGACCTGTCATTCTGTCTGCTTCTACATTTGGTGATTTAAATAGGTTCCTCTTTATTTCTTCTTTTGTAAATGTTGGATCTGGCGAAGGCGATGCCATTTTCAAAGGGAAGTCACTCTTCAATACAAAAAAAATAATTAAAGAATTGGCATCCGTGATGAAATATTATCCGTCACCGATAAACAGACCCCAAAATAAACAACACCAAGAATACAGGTATAGACGAATACAACAATTTTAATAAAACAAAAGTAAAGCAATTCAACGTCATAATATAAATCAGTCCGTATGATATAAAAAATATGAAACAAGATACAACATGCCTTACTCGTTCTGATTGGTTGAATAAGATTAGTCAATAGAAATTATTTCTTTTCTACCTTGTTAATGTAATATATATATTCCGTGAAGTTTATTTATGACTGTGCTATGCATATTTGTGTTTATGGAGTCATCCTTATTTTCATAGTTTTCATTAGTTTTCTTATATTTGTCTACAAACTCAGACAAAACAGGAAAATAAAAGTAAATGGCAAATCAGTATTTATAACAGGTAAGCTATTTTTAGATTCAATCTCGTGGTGCTATTTCTTGACCTGTTTTTTTTTATCAAGGCATAAACTAGTGTACAATGTGTACCCGGTCACGAGCTTTGGAGAGATCAGACATTACAACGGACTCTTATCTCTTTGTCTGAAATTCCCACACAGAATCCCAGTTTTAACGGACACCTTTGGCATCAATGATCAAGTTATTTTGCGATTTAGAATATATAATATTAATAGGAGTAAGACAAGGCAATATTTTGAGTCTCAGTCTATTTAAGTTTTTCATTAATGAACTTGGGGTCTCAAAAAAATATATTACTAAAATAGGAGTTACAACAGAACTTGGAAGACATCCTCTTTACATGGGCGCATTACATTTGCACGCATTTGGGGATTGAAATTTGATACGTTTTCGCGCAGCTTTTGATTACATTTCCGCACATTCATTTTACAGGTAACTCAAGTATAAAAATAAAGATAATTCATAATGAATTTAACTATAGTTAATATGAATTTTGAACATATTCTATTTGTAAATTTGAATTATATATTTTTCATATTGAATTATAAAAAAAATTACAGTGATGATTAGAAATCCCGTAATAGCTTAAGACATACATGTAGCTTTTATGCGAATATTTCAGATTGAATAGCATTATGTTTCATAATTTTACCGAATTGCGATTTAATGAATAATTTAAGTCAGTTTGTAAAAGTTGCGTCAAGGCACACACATGGAGTTTCGTTTGTCAGAAACAATCATCGGGGGATTAAATCGGGGTAAATGTATGGCGATGTACCGTAAATAATTGCAAAGGTACTCCACCAGATTTCCTATTTCCTCAAGGTCTTTGTGCATCACTACCAGTGATCCAGAATCCAGGCGAACTACAAACGGCCCGGAACCATTCCATGCTCACTACAATAAGCAATTTTATTTACCACATCCATATATAATATGTTTGTGCACGGTACGACATGTAAAATCAGTACTTTTGATCTTTAGATTTTCTATGTTTTTACATTTCTATCTGTATATATTTTCAGGACCAAGTGCTTGTGCACAATAAAACGGACTTATCCTGCTCGAAAATAATAGTTAAATAAATAAATAAGTATAATCTACCTGTATTTACCTGAAATTACCTGTAAAATAATGCGCCCAAATGTAATCAAAAGCTGCGCGCAAACGTAATGATTTTTGCGCGCAAATATAATGCACCGCTTTAAATAGGGCATCTACCTGCATTTACCTGAGTTGACCGGTATAAGAATGCGCGTAAATGTAATTCAAAAACGTAATGATTTTTGCGCACAAATGTAATGGTAATGCGCGCAAATGTAATGCACCGCTTTACATAGACATGTTAAAATTGGCACAGACTAGAAAATTCACCATCAAACTTGCTCAACAATGCATATAAGGAATAACTTCATTTGTACAGCATACACAAAGGTCATAACTCTTGGTCAAAAACCTACTCTTTTATGGTGAAAACTATCTGATCAATTGTAAAATCTGGAGTGAACATAAATTTAAGAAATCACTTAAAATTTGTCTCAGAAACAGCCTCTTTAGACCTGGAAGGAAGTTAGGTCTTCTTATTTACATGACAAAGGCAAATTAATTACATATTTTGATTCAAATTCTCCTTTGTGAGAGAGAACTATTTATCCTATACACATACTGATGATCGGGAAATTCTTACAAAATTGAGATTGAGTAATCATGAATTAAGAATTGGAACTGGTCGTCATGAACGCAGGTTGAACTCTTCAGGTAAACTATAATATTTTTTATATTTATCTCTTCTTGACTGTAAAAGCTGTGTTTATATATCTGTTATATATCGGTCTATAAGGATTAATTTACTTAAACCAGGGCCGATTCAGGATATTTGAAAGGAGAAAGCGGGAAGGGGGGAGAGGGGGGGGGGGGGGGGGGGGGGGGGGGGGGGAGGTGGAGGTTGGAGGGCGTATAATTCCATAAAACGAGAGAAAACAAATTTGGACGATTTTATGCTAAAAATGGTATATTTTCAAATGAAAGGGGAGCGTACGCTCTATATATATGCCCCCTAAATGGACCACTGTAAACACATCTTTGGTCGACCCATGATGTATCAAAATATTGTCATATCGTAAATGTGTATTCCCCGACACATTCTTGAGATGTGGTATACAGCAGGTAAAAAAGCGGGGATATTTGATAAAGGGGGTAGAAGAGGTGGGAACTGGTCTGGGACAAAGAAGGAAAGCAAAAGTGGGATGTGGGGAAAATTACAAACAAAAAACATTTTCAAAGTGACGGCAATACTTTCTTTTAGGATGTGATAGAGGTTTTGGTTACCATATAGCCAAACAGTTGAGCACTTTAGGATTCCAGGTTTTTGCTGGTTGTCTGGATATCAACGGAGCGGGTGCAAAAGAACTTGAAAATTTTTCAAAGTGTGTACATCCAGTACAAATAGATGTTACCAAAGAACAAGATGTCTTAGATGCATTAAAGTTTGTTGAAGATATTGTTCAAGATAAAGGTTCGTGTAAATATGTCAATTCGCAAACTTTTAGCCGAGTTTAATCTTTCTGATTTCAAAAATAAAACGCCGCCGTTATAGATCTCGTGGTAGCGTGTTCTATTCGAGTGTGCATGATCCCCGGCCAGGTTAAATTAGTTACCTAAACATTGCGACATTTAGAAATGCGAATAAACTTAAGACTGTTTGGCTTAGCTGGAATTAAAACAACGTGTCCGTGGCCAGACAGTAGGTTGGAATGTCTTCTTACAGACTGTAACAGTTACCTTGTGAACTGAAACGTTAGAAATCCAACTCGTGTAGGTCTAGTAAAAAGCAGGGTTCATATTCATATTTTTGTCCTGAATATATGCATTTAGTATTTCGTTAGACGAAATAACAGCCATCCATCATGATCATTATCATCATCACAAATCTTTCCGTCGTCACGGAATATCACGATTCACTACCAAAAATAGGATATACAGTTTGATACATGAACATAGGAGAGCATGGATCAATAAGTAAGGACACTTGTTTATAATTTGTCCCGACCTTGATACTTTAATTTATGATCCAAACATTTTCATGTCAATGTTCACAAGGGGTCGGTTATTGGTTAAACTGTGATTTTTTAACCACGGTATATTTGTGTCTTAATTGTTTCGAGTATAATATTACCGTATTTAACCATCTCACTGATGTTATATTACCGTTCTGAGGATTTTCAATAATACATAAAAACTGAAAGAATAACTTGAACAAATTATAGTTAATTGAACAGTACAACAGACCACACAAAACCATGAACACCCGACTCTTTGACCCGACAACAGACCACACAACACCATGAACACCCGACTCTTCCGACCCGACAACAGACCACACCAAACCATGAACACCCGACTCTTCCGACCCGACAACAGACCACACCAAACCATGTACACCCGACTCTTCCGACCCGATAACAGACCACACCAAACTATGTACACCCCGACTCTTCCGACCCGACAACAGAACACACCAAACCATGAACATCCGACTCTTCCGACCCGACAACAGACCACAATAAACCATGAACACCCGACTCTTCCGACCCGACATCAGTCCACACCAAACTTTGAACATCCGACTCTTCCGACCCGACAACAGACCACACCAAACCATGTACACCCGACTCTTCCGACCCGACAACGACAAACTAAATGTAGGATATACTAGTAAGCACGCTCATTTACTGAAAATCCATTTTTTCAGTTTTGTTCAGATTTAGATGACGACGACGACGACAACGACGAGGAGGAGAAGGAAGCTTTAAGATTAACGTCCAGTATATATCAAAACGCACGCAAGAACACATTTATCGTTTTAAAAGACCCCATAAATTCAAAAGTATCATTTATCGCCACCTTAAGAAGAACAATCATCCTTTTAAACATTTAACAGTTCAACCTTTAGAAGTAGTTAATAAGCAGCCTGGGGAATCTCATTCAAAATTTGTACGATCACGAAAAATAATTGAATTAAATTGGATTAAAAAATTACAGACAGTCTATCCTCTCGGTCTTAACGACAATATAATTGGAATTGGTTATATATCTAGAACAGATTCTGTTAACATTTTGGATATAGTTTCTAAAACAGTTCGTAAAAACCGTTCTCATGGGCGTAGAATAAATCGCAATCAAAGAAAATTTCGTAATAACAATACAAATATTTCGGACCTAATTTCTATTTCAAAAAACAATGGTAGACACTATCTATTAACCAAGCTCTGTTCTTTGCCTGTTAATAAATTACATCAAATTTTGGAGGAATGCAACACAATTCCATATTGCAGTCCTAAGTATGAAACCGTCCAAATTATAATTGCATATTGTTATTCTAAATTGTTTCCCAAAATTGATCGCCCTGAAGATCACAGAAAACATTTTATTAAAATTAAATATGTCAATAAAGGTTTTGATTTTGTAAATATTGCCGGTATTTTTAATGATCATTCTGTTAAAGAACAAATTCCTGGCTATTTTGATAATACTGAACTCCTTCTTATTTGTTATGTTTACAAAAAATCTACCCGGAAATATGTGTTTAATTACAGCGAAGTGTGTAAAGATGTTAATATCAGTGACAATACACCTACCTCATGAAATTGCAGTAAATCCGAATACATTTATGGCCCCAGTTCCCATGTTATAACAGGAGACCTTAACATCGTTCGTGACCGAGAGTTGAAATCATTCCTCAGTAAAGGACCTAAATATCGTTTTTAATTCGGTAATGAACATAGTTGATATACGTATTGAACATTTTAAAGATCATTTTACTCCTAACAACAACCATAATAGCCCAATTTCCCGTATCAAACACAAGCTAAAAGAACTCGCCAATGAATATATTTTTTCCCGGCTGATAAGGCTGCTAACAATATCATTATTGTTTGACGTAAATTTTACATTTATGTTCTACAAAAGGAAATCACGAATTCACCAACATTCCAACTGACTCCATTTTCGGAAAATGACATCTGCGACAAACATAAACTTTTAGCTACCTCGTTACAAGCAGAACCAAATACAATGAAAGTTCCAACTATGTACTGGCTTCCGAAGCTGCATAAAACTCCATACAAATATAGATTTATTTCGTCTTCCAGCCATTGTTCCACTACTAAACTACCTATTCTACTTACTAGTACACTTGGTACAATCAAAAACCTGGTAATAAATTGTTCAAATAAGGCCTTTGAAAATAGTGGAATTAATTACTTTTGGAGTGTCAAAAATTCGTTGGAAGTACTTGATGAATTGCATGCTTATATTGGTGATTTCGAATCTGTTCAAACTTTTTTAAGTTTTGATTTTTCTATCCTATATACCACGTTGCCTCATAATCTTATTAAGAAAAAAATCACACACCTGATTAAATGGGCATTTAAAAAGTTGGAATGCGAATATATATGTTCAAACTCTTTTAGGTCATTTTTTAGTAACAACAAACAAAAGAACTATGTCAATTGGACCTGCTTTGATACTATAACTGCCCTTGAATTTTTACTAGATAACATTTTTGTTCACTATGGAGATTCCGTATATCGTCAGGTTATCGGAATTCCCATGGGGACTAACTGTGCACCAATTATGCGGACCTGTTTCTGTATTGTTATGAGTTACAATTTATGACTAAAATCAGCAAAGACCCATCGAAACAACATCTGATTCAAAAATTTAATAACACTTTTAGATATTTAGATGATATATTGGCTCTCAATAATGACGACTTCAGTATGTACACTTAAGAGATTTATCCTGCCGAACTGACTATAAATAAAGCTAATACTAACAATGAACACTGCCCTTTCCTGTATCTTGATATCTTTATCTTTAACGAGAAGCTTAATACCAAAATTTATTATAAAAGAGATGTTTTTTCATTTCCTATTGTTAATTATCCATTTTTAGATGGTGACGTTCCCTTGTCGCCATCTTATGGTGTTTATACATGTATATCTCAACTTGTTCGATTCGCTCGTGTATGTAACAACGTATTTGATTTCAACGAAAGAAATCTCTGTATTACTGAAAAATTATTACACCAGGGTTTTCGATATCACAAACTAATCAAAACATTTACTAAATTTTATCATCGGTACAAGGACATCATTCGTAAATATAAATCAACATGCAGACATCTTATACGTTCAGGTATTTCACATCCAATATTTTATGGTAATATTCTTTACAAAGCACAAAAATGTCGGCATTCACCTCAAAAGCTAACCAAACCTTTCAACCGACTTATTCGGAAAGGATATAGTTACGATACTGTTGTCAAGTCATTAAGGATTGCATATTTTGATATTAATATTGATTCACTCATAGGGTCTTTGCATCGGAAATAAACACATTTATTCTAAAACCAGTTATTGGCATGTTACGGGTTATGTTCTTCTCATATATTGTATGATGGTATGATACTAAACCCCTAACGGGAGGGATTGTACTTGATTTTCATATGATGAAGACAATCTTTCAATCAGTTTAATTGAGGTCTGGAGTTGGCATGTCAGTAACTACTAGTAGTCATTTGTTCATTTATGTATCATTGTCATCTTGCTTAGTTTCTTTTGTTACCTATTCTGACATCGGACTCGGACTTCTTTTAAACTGAGTTTTACTGTGCGTATTGTTATGTGTTTCTTTATTCTACATTGGCTAGAGGTATAGGGGGAGGGTTGAGATCTCACAAAACATGTTTAACCCCGCCGCATTTTTGCGCCTGTCCCAAGTCAGGAGCCTCTGGTCTTTGTTAGTCTAGTATGTTTTTTAATTTTAGTTCATTTATATGTTTTGGAGTTTAGTGTGACGTCCATTTTCACTGAACTAGCACACAATTTTAGTTAATTAGGGGTCAGCTGAGAACCACCTCCGGGTGCGGGATTTTCTCGCTGCATTGAAGACCCATTGGTGGCCTTCGGCTGTTGTCTGCTCTTTGGTCGGGTTGTTGTCTCTTTGACATATTCCCCATTTCCATTCTCAATTTTATTCTAATATTTGGTCGAGAATAATAATATGTTAAAGTGTTTAGAAAATAACCCTGATCATATGTACTAGACCCGACACGTTAAGTCGGACTTTTAATATGCTAATTCTCAAGATAATAGTTCGCAGGAAGACATGACGCCTTCCAAGACACATTTTTTTCTGCGTCCGAGTCGACCAGGTTTTGTATTCGATCCTTATATACCGCGTTCTTAGCAGAGGAACAAGTAACACTGTTTAAGTCTTGAGTTCGACCCGGATTGTTATCGTCTTGAACCTATGACCTCCCGCACTCGAGGCAAGCACACTACCAAGAGACCAAGGTAGCGGTTTTCCTTTATGTGTTCACAAAATGGTTAAAATGGTCAAATTTTATTTTTGTAGGATTATGGGCTGTTATTAACAATGCAGGTGTAGCATCTTATGTCGAATGTGAATGGTGTCCATTGGATGTCTATCAACGCCTAATTGACGTAAATCTTACAGGTGTAATCCGAGTGACCAAAGCCTTTCTACCGCTCGTCAGAAAAAACCAGGGCCGTGTTGTCACTGTTGCAAGTCTGGCTGGTAATATAATACGCGTCAAAAACTTGAAGATTTAAAATTTTAACAATTAACGCACATTGTCGTGTGATTTAAAAAATGTTTTACGAGATTTAAATACATAAAAATATATTTCATCCTTTTTCAATTTTTGTTGAAAGCATGACAAGGGCAAACTAAAATTGTGGAAGCTAGACCTTTTTTTTTTTTATAAAGTTCCAGCTAGGGTACTCTTATTTGAAATATTATTACGTGTTTTTTATTCAACCACTAGCGAAAGGGAGAGTAAGTGAAAGGGATGTCCGTCCATCCGTATGCCCAAACCCCCTATTCACACCTCCAAAGTAATCATTGGAATAATAAAATTATTGACTTCACTCACCTAACATTTATATTAAAAAACTAGATTCTACTTTGGTTTTGGAAATCATGTAAAAATAGATTAAAATCATAACAGATACCCTAATAATAATTTCATAAGGAACATTCATGCTATGTTTTATTTAATTCCATTCAGTGGTTCTCTAAAAGACGACATTTGTATGTATTGTCCATAGGGTCCTATGTTAAACGAAGTCCCCTGCTGGCGGGTATCTTGGATGATTGATCGCCTACAAAGCTACAACAATTGGTCAGCACCTCATATGGAACATTCATGCCATGTTTTATTTCAAAATTACAAAATCGTAAGTGACCGCATAAAAACACAATGACCAAAGAATAAGACAAATTACCGTTACAGATCACAAAACGATACACGAGAATATAAAGATTAGGCAACCGGAACCCAGCAAAAAACCGTCTATGAACTCAGGTGTTCCTAATGAGTAAATAGTTCCTTCTCATTTAGTGACACCCGACGTGTTGCTCACGACAATTTTAAAACGATGCAAAATAAAAACATTTCATCTGTCCCTAAACACACAGTTTTAATTTCCAGGTAGGAATGGTTTGCCAGGTTTCTCTGCATACTCTGCCACGAAGTTTGGTGTAATAGGATTTTCAGAATGTCTCAGAAGAGAAATGAAAAAGTTCAATGTCAAGGTTATAACTATAGAACCAAGCATGTACAAGTAAGTATAAGTATACAGTCTAGGTCATTAGCTTCTTACTTCTTGTCGGAATCTAACGAAAACGGATTCAATAAAGTTAAAATTGAAGGACCGACGTTTGAGGCAAGTATGAAAAATACTAATTATTAATGTGCAAACCGGTTGTAAACTTTGAAGCTATGATTGAGTTATAACTGTTTCACTCGGCAAACCTCGGCAAATTCTTCTACCTACTTTGTTAGGTTTGTTCTCTTCCTCTTGCAAGAACGGTTATCTGAGTCAAACAGATAAAGGACAGACAACAATTTGCCTGCATCGTTAGATCATATAATTTGTCGGATTTTTTTGAGACTTAATATCTTCCTTGGACGTCCTTTCATTTCAAACTTTATGTATACATGATAACAATGGATAAATATAAACGTGTCAACGCGCAATGATAGGTCTATTAATGTTTATGATACTTTTACAGAACAAGTATAACTGATGAAAATGTTCTCATCGCACAAAACCAGGAATTGTGGGAAAAGTGTCCAGACGAGATTAAAAACGCATACGGAGAACCATATTTCAACGACTTTCTGGTTAAGATAAAGGAAAATATAATAGATTTAACTGCCAATAAAGACATCACGACAGTAATTGATGCAATAGAGGATGCCATTTGTTGCCAGTATCCTGACACTAGATATGTTCCAGGGTTTCGTACTTCTTGTGAGAGTTTTATATATTCAATGCTGCCAATCAGTATTCAAGATTTAACAGTTTCGCTTGTAATGAAATATGTCAACAAACCATGTCAAATGACTACATTGAAAAAAAACAGATAATACTTTGTTTAAAATGTTATTTCCTCGTACGACTTTTTCTATTATCTACACTAGAGTCTACCGTATAATGTGTCAATGTGTTTTAGAATTCGAGTGGGCCTGCAGTCGTCTTAACAAATTCTGCGCATGTTCTAATATCGTACTCCTTCCTTCGTTGATGACCTTATGGAATGCAACTCTCATCTTTTTTTTGGCTTTTTATTTTGTTGAAGGATCACTCTGAGGTACTCTTTATTCATCATGTTTATTGGAGGAGGATTCGTTTTACAGTCACAGTTTCACTCACCCATTTCTTGTCATGACACCGATGGTAATGACACGGTTTGAATATATTTTAATATAACAGGAATTATTGCAGGATCGTTATTGTTTCTTGTGCTCATGGTGTTATTTTCTCGCCTTCGAAGAAGGTCGCAGCATGCCAAACAAAAGGATTTCTGTCCGCGGCGGTTGCGTAAACAACTTGTATAAAGCTTTATATTTTAGAGGATAGAATACATGGATGCTTCATAGATATAAGAAGATGTGGTATGAGTGCCAATGAGACAACTCTCCATCCAAGTCACAATTTATAAAAGTAAATCATTATAGTCATTATAGGTCAAAGTACGGTCTTCAAAACGGAGCCTTGGCTCACACCGCACAGCAAGCTATAAAGGGCCCCAAAAATTACTAGTGTAAAACCATTCAAACAAGAAAACCAACGGTCTAATCTATATAAAAAACGAGAAACGAGAAACACTTATGAACCACATTAACAAACGACAACTACTGAACAACAGATTCCCTGTTAAATGTATACGGACGCCTTATGTTTCGATGTTTATGTCTGTCATATTTCCATTGCCCTTGACCTCATTTTCCTTGGTTCAGCGACTGCAAAACATGTTTTTTTTGTGGACCAGTGAATTTCTCACTTATTATATAGTAATATGAAAGCTATATTGGAATATGGGTTCCTTACAAGGACCTCCGACGTTTCCGTCAGATTGGTGGCCTTCGGCTGTTTTCTGCTCTTTGGTCGGTTTGTTGTCTCTTTGACACATTCCCCATTTCCATTCTCAACTTTATTCACCTGACCTTGACCTTAAGTTCATGATGGGTCAGTGATCAAGGTTAAGTTTACGTGATTAGGTCCGTTTCTCAGATACTGTAAAGCAATAGGTCAACTATGTTTGTTGCACAGAATGATTGTTAGGTGTATACATGCCAGTCTGGTAGGTTTCATCTGTCCTTGCAATTTACGCGGCCTTTCTGTGTTTACGAAAAGAACTATCATTTGAGTGTATTTACAAAAGAAAAAGTTACGTTTTCCTATCATTTGAGTGTATTTGCGAAAAGAAGTCACCTTTTCCAATCGTTTGAGTGTATTTACGAAAAGAAGGGCTTAGTTTTCATATCTTTTGAGTGTATTTACGACAAGTTGAGGTTACGTTATCCTATCAATAGAGTGTATTTAAGAAAAGGAGAGCTACATGGACGTTTTTTCATCACGTCAAATCTGATGAACTGTCTAGAGATCAATTCATAGTCTGATTACGAGCACATGGCGGAAGGATTTTTTAACAACATCTATCATGCAATTATGACTTAATTATGTATACTTTTAAGTACACGTATATTTCATTTTTTTAAATGGAGCTGTCCAGATATAATTGAGAAATAATGCGGGAATGTACTTTTTATGGACATCTCGAAGACATTGAGACTTTGAACATAATTTACGCTGACGGAAGTTGATTTCGAAACTGGTCCGCTGTGATTTTGTGTCCGCTATAAATTCAACGGGTCGTTAAAAGGTTGTTGATTTGAGCTAGTATACAAGATAAGTTATGAAGGTCTGGAATGGGAGGTCTGCATTTCTGTACTATATGATTTATAGGCCTTTTTCTCTCTTATTTTTTTCGGACATTGTTCTCTAAACTTTATAGATCTTTATATTTTAGCACGTACCCTTTTGTTCTATAGCGTTTAAGGCCTAATTTCTCTATAATTCTTTATTTTCTTTGCCCATTATTCATAGTTTTTAAATAAACTACATCCAGACCCTCAATTACAGGGAATTCACAAACACATGCGTACGAGGTACTTCGAGCGAGGTAATCGTGCCAATGCCATGTTCTGCCATGTTCATGTCATTGTCCAAAGTCGGAAACAAAGTCTGAAAAAATTTGTAAATCTTATATATAGGGATTGTTTATTTCATTTATGTAATTTGGTTGTGATGGTAGATCAGTGTTTGTAAATACCGTAAACATGCTGAACTTTAAACGAAATGACCTTTTTAGGGGGGTCTTTTCGTATATATATATATATATATTAAAAATTAAATACACAAAAAGAGTTTTAAAAGCAGCATTGTCTAGCGCTTTCATCCATCTTGGGACTTTTCAAGACTATGAACGTCATTATGAACGTCGTTATTCATAAAAGTGTTTGACGCCATGCTTAATGCTTAGTAGTTAAATGAACAATAACGTTGCGTCATACTACTTATATGTTACGAACAATGACGTTACGTCATAATACTAATGTGTTCCCCATACAGTAGGACAACCGGATGTGCCTTTTTGGCCAAAATGTGATTCGGCGGCGCTCAGTAGTCCTACGCCGAAAATTGGACTATTTTGCGTCGGCCGACGTCAACTGAAAAATGGCGCGCTTTTGTAATTTTTTTTCATTCGCTTACGGCAAAGTACCGACGGTAAATACTGTTGATTGTAAGCATATCTATAAGAGAAAAATATATGAGTTTACATATTATTTTCATTTTAGAACATTAAAATAAAAGGAAATCTTATTTTTTTATATCTGAACATAGAATTTCTGATTTTGATTTTATGCACTGTAGAATTAAATAGCGATATTAAAAATGGGTACAAAAAAATACATATCCTTCGATTTTCTAAAAATTTTTACATCCTATTCTCGCTAGTTTTTGGCATCGAAATTCGTAAAGAACAGGGGTGTTCAAGCCAGGGCAAAAATTTGTACCCATTTTAAACTACGGGTCTCAATTGTTTTTAGGTTTTTCCTTGCAAGGTCGAAAGATTTAGAAATTGGAACAGTTTCTGTTTTTAAAGTATATATTCATTCAACTGTCATGAAAAGGTGAATCCTTAGATATTTAACCCCTTTAAAAATAATAATATGTGTCCATAAATTGTAAAATTATAGATTTTTTTCGAAATTGAAGAAGGCGCCATTTTCGTCTATATTGCTATTACGTCTATTGGACTGCTATAATTATTAGATGTTTCTAAAAAAATCTCCGCCTCGATTTTTTTTATACTTTCATATCATAACCTTTTGTACATAATGTATATGTTATGAAAAAATTAGGCATTTCTATCGAGTAGAAATGGAGAACGGTGATCTTTATTTTGTATGTCCCCACTACAAGGGCGTGGTCCTCCCTTAACCTTGATTCTGAAGTGCACGATAGCTATTCTTCTCTCGAAAATAATTATCAACTAAAAACTATTGAAACATAACAGATATATTTTAAGACATCAATAAGTTTTAAGTGCTAGTTATTTTTTGAAGCAGAATTGGCGGAATCGACCCCATCCGAAGTTGTGTCAGTACATAGATCAACGTTGTCAATTTCCGGCGCCGAAAATGTCAACGTAAAATGTAATTAAAAGTTGGATTCTTCTTTTCTTTGTAGCTACTTTGTTTATCTTAATGTCAAGGAAGTCATGCGATATGTTGAATCCATATCAACGTTATACCAAAAAGGCCGAGCTTGGTAAAATAACAGCTTTATAGGCCTACATAAACATGATAAATCATATATATCTTTGACATCGTACTTCGTGTATCCATATTTATTTCGTGAATATTGTTACCGGCCGATGAGTCTTTTATGAACATCTACTCTAAATAGGTTTATAGATAAGCTATCTTTTTTCATAATTTTCCTTTCGTTATTGTTATGTGTTGTGTTTTGTTTCTTTTTAAAATAAAAAGGGGGGGGGGGGGTCTCTTTAAATCTCAATTCAGGCTGAGACTAGTAGTCTTAGATTCAGGCAAAGGCGTGTGTCATTTTTAGGGGCTCGAAATTCTTAATTTCTGCTGGACAGTGTAGGTTTTAAACTCTTCATGACTTTACTTTTTAAAAAATCCATATGAAATTTCTTAGGGCATGACTATTAATATATTTATGCATAAGGGGCATGACCATTCGCTATTCTAGGTAGGTGGTGGGAGGGGATTCCTGGTCCGTTTGCACAAGTACCTGTTCACCCTGGGTTCTTTTGCCCTTATACCCATTAGGCCTGTTATTTTATTTTATTTTGATGTCTTGTTTAATGTAAATTATTTGAATGAAGTATGTAAAAGTTAGTTGGCAATTTCGTGAATAAAACCATAACGTTGGAGGTAGTAGGATTTTTTTCTGGATAAACTATTTATTTGCATCCATTACTACACATGCTTTTATTTCGAAATATATTTCCATTTATCCTATTCATGTTATTTGGGCCTTTTATACATGTAGCTTACTATGCAGTATTGGTTCTGCTCATTGTTGAAGGCAGTCAGAGACCTATACTCAATAACCTTTTCGTCATTTGGTATCTGGTGGAGAATTGTCTCATTGGCAATTAAACCTAACTTCTTATTTTTATATTGGAATTGTTTTCGAACTGAATGGGAATTGTAGTACCTTCATGTACATGTACTTTCAAAAAAATCAATGAAATATTTCAAAGGATACAATGTAACTAACTAGCCATATGAAATATTTTTTGTATAATTTGCACCTCTTCTCCTTTCATTTGGCAGGGGCTTTGTTATATGGTTGGCTGTATCATAACTTGTGATAGGATATAGTTATGCAGTGTTGAATGCTGGTCCTGATGGCACCCCCAAATTGATAGGGATACAATAATTATATTCTTTCACTCAATCTCAACAACAAGGCAAATGTGAAGGAAATTAATCTTAGCAAACCAGATTTTATTTAATTATGTGATAAATACTCAAAAGTGAGCTTATTTGATCAAATCTAGCCTTGTGATACAATTTCTTGAAAAGTATCAAATCAAAGTTGAGTTCTTCCACATTTGGGTAAATGTCGAACTTTCCATGAATAAAGTCCAATAATTCTGGAATGACAAAACTTGAATTCGCCAAAAGCAAAAGGGAGCTTTCTTTTAATCACACTTATGCAAAATAAAAGGGAAACACTTCAGGCCAGAGGGAAGATATATTCGGTTTGTTAAAAGTATACAATAAAACATATGGAATCTTTTTAATCATGTTGATTATATAAAAGTGATATTGCTTTGAT